GAGATGATTTCATTTAATTAAAATCACGTTTCGGTCGTCCCCGTTTATGATGACATCGATACCCTGTCACATGCAGATATTAAAAAAAAAAAAAATTAATTAATTTTTAATAAAAAAAAAAAATGTAAATCGAACGAACGCCATGATTCCAAAACGTACATTGTTTACATTTGAGATGTTTGATCCGAGTGAAATCCATTCAAAACAAAATAAAACTAAATGACAAAATGTATAAAAACCGAAATTATATTCGTTTGTGTATCATATCTGATTGTAATCAAGTGACAGACGGGCACAATGGCGTCCCGCAGTCAAAATAATATTTATTTAATTTTATTCGGTTACGCGTTTTTTGGATTTCAACGTGAATGTAATTCTATGGTAAGTAAACGTTTTAAAAAATGATAATGATGATACTGATAGTAATGATTATGTTTTGACCGGCGGTTAAATTTTTTAATTTTTTTGCAAAATTTTTTCACCACAAGTTTTTGTCCAAAAAAAAGAAAAAATTTTTTAATAAATTTTCGTAGTTTTTACTCTTAAATTTCTCTTAGTATTTTACTTATTAAAGATAAATTTGTAGTTTAGAATTGTAGTTTAGAATTGTAGTTTTTAGGGAAAAGGTGAAATGTTATTAATTTTATTATTGATTTTGTCGGGGAAAATTTTTTTTATTATTTTATTTTGCAGTCGGAAATGTGTTGATTACGTAATTGATAACGTTGCGGGTTATGTAATTAATAATTGTTTAGTCGTTGGTTTTGTTTTTTTTTTTGAATAAGACTAAAATTGTGTTAACGTGGAAAAATTTTGAATTCGAAAAAAAATTAATTAATGTTTTTTAGAAAAAATGGCGTCATGTTTCGTTTTTTTTTTTTGTGCGTGGGTTTAAACTGTTATGAATTTGATAAAAAATTTATTTTTAGATTTATCCCGTTAATCCTGGTTGTAGAGCTTATAATAATTTACCTACGTCATTAATGTCGTTTTACAAACGGCAAGCTTCTTTGGAACCATATATGCCGACACCTATAATGGGTAATAGTATCAATACACCAGTTCCTGTAACTGAAACCTTTCACACAGCGAAATATCCATCGACTTGTACATCGGGAATTTTACCTGCCGTAGTACCAGCTGCAATGCCTACAACTTTGTCCGTTGCAGCGCCAGCAATTATGCAGTCAGCTGCGCTTTCTGCAACTGCTCCTGCCGCACTACCTGCAGCCTTGCCCGCAGTATTACCAGCACCACCCGTGGCAACTACATTGCCAGCATTACCAGTCGCTTTGCCTGCTACAATCCCAATCGCAATATCATGCGCTGCACCAAGTGCGTTGTTGCCGGCCGCTGCTCCTGTCGAAAGTACTGCCGAAATGATAAAAGTATTTGAATTACTTCAAAGTGGAAAAATACTTGATCCTACTATTGCCGAGAAACTAAATGCCATTCAAGAATTTTTAACTTCACAATCATCCGTGCCAATTTGCGGTGCCCTAGATCTAGCAACTTTATCTAAAGTATCCGGTTTAACGCCTGAACAGTTGTCGGAATTAATGCTCGGCCAATCTGTGAAACCAAATTTGCCTGCTCCTCCGTCACCACCAACACCAGATCCATCACCGCCATCACCGCCATCACCGCTTCCGGAATTACCTCCAGTGCCACCACCAACACTTCCACCAACACCAGATTTACCTTCAGTTCCATCATTACCTTCACCTTCCCCATTACCAGCGTTGCCACCGATGCCTCCAATGCCGCCAATGCCGCCAATGCCACCAATGCTCCCAATTCCTCCAGTACCGCCAATGCCACCAATGCTCCCAATTCCTCCAGTGCCGCCAATGCCACCAATGCTCCCAATTCCTCCAGTACCGCCAATGCCACCAATGCCGCCAATGATCCCAATTCCTCCAATGCCGCCATCACCACCATTGCCATCACCTCCAGATCTACCCTCTCTTCCTTCATTGCCACCATTGCCACCAACTCCAGATCTACCCTCTCTTCCTTCATTACCACCAATGCCAACATTGCCACCAATGTCAACATTACCACCAATGCCAACATTGCCACCAACTCCAGATCTATCCTCTCTTCCTTCGTTGCCACCACCTCTTCCAACACCACCATTACCTTCTGTGCCAGCTCCCGAAGTAGTTCCTTTAGAAGTAGCAGAAGCTGTAAAAATATCTGAATTGACAAAGGAAATGACTCCTTCAAATTTATTATCAGAAAAATTCGAACCACTTAATTCTGCAGTATCACCATCTGAAGCGCCTATAACCGCAACGGCTTCTCCCATAAGCACATCAGAACCGCAAGATTTATCTGAAGTTGAGGAACCCTTGATGTCATCCATCATCGAAGAACCTTTAACTAAATCAATTAGTAATAACTTGTTGGGCGTTTCCCCACCCTTACAAATCCCAGGAAACATCTCACCATCTTCATCTTGTGATTCCATGTCACCAACAATAAATATTTTCAATCCATCGGATTCATCATCAAATCCAAATGTTCAAGAACAAATCACAGCTTTAATGTCTCTTCTATCATCGACGTGTCCTTTAGCCTCTTTGCCACCTCTACCATCTTATGCTCCGGCACCATTACCTCCAAATCCGACATGTTAGATAAATTTATTTCAAGAATGTAAAAATGCTTTAACTTTAGGTTTATCACAAATATATATAGATATGTATATATTTTTTATTTTCGTAAGCTAGTCAGGTAGTTTAAATGTAAGTAAGGATTAGACAGGCCTTTATCAAGCCAATAGTAAACCATGCTCCTCTATAAGCGGATTAGATTTAAAAACCTTCACACTCTGATCTAATCATCATCATCATCACTATGAGCGTATATATATATATACAATTGTTTTTTTTTTGTTTCAAGAATTTTCTTGTTTTAATTGTTGCTGTAGTTTAGAATTATTTTAGAATTCGAGTATTATTATTATTAGATCGTTTTTAAAATAAGGAAAATTTTATGTTTTGACGCAATTCGTTAATTATAACGAACCGTGAACTTTATTAAAAAAATAAAAATAAAAAACATTTACAAATTATTAATAATAATAATAATAACTTTTATTATTACAAAATATTACCTATTACTCCTCCTTGTCTCCTCTCTCTCTCTCTCTCTCTCTCTCTCTTTCTCTCTAAAAAAAAAAATATAAATGTTTAATTATTTTAATATGAAGATATAAATAAATTATAATTTTAAAATGTCGCGCCATCAAATTAAAAATTAAAATTATTTATACATATTTAATATTATTATTATTATTATTATTATTATTATTTATATTAATATATAATATATCGAATTCAATAACGTTAATGCGATTAAACAATAACGACGATATCGATTATTAAAACATTTTGAATATAAAACCAGACCTTGGATTTTTTCCCCACCATTGTTGCCTTTTCTTTTTATAACAATTCAAACGGTCACCACAGAATTTTTTTTTATTGTTTATAAAAAAAAAAAGGTTTAAAAATAGAAGGCGGTGGTAAACTTGAATAAATAAAATTAAATACAAATAATAATAATAATAATAATAATAAAAACAATAGAATTTGATTTGACCGTCGAAGAGTTATTGTTGACATGAACGTCATTCGTTCTTTCGTTCTTTAAAAAAAAAAAAAAAAATAGGCAATGTTCGACCTTTTGTTATTATTATTATTATTTTCATTTTGCTGAATGTATATGTTCGTATTATTATTATTATTATTACCTTTAAGAAAAAAAATTTTTTTCAAGGTTTTTAATTGCATAATAAAAACCCTCGCGTTTTTTTATTTAAAACCATTTTAAATGAAATGAAAACGGGAACGAGTGTTTTAGTTATATTATCGGCGTACGTTTGCGCCGTTTTCGCCGCGTTCGATCAATGTCCGATCGATGCAAAATGTTGTCCATTAGAATCCGGACAATGTTCGATCGATTCGACTCACTGTTTGTTAAATAGTAATTGTTCGCCATTTATTACAATGAGATCGACAGATGATCATTTTTCAACGAGTAGTAGAGTTTTGGTAAGTTCGCACACGCACACACACACACACACATATATATATATATGCATATAATATCACGTAACTATTTTTACATTGAGCCAAATTCTTATCGATAACGTTTGTTGATAACAAAAAAAAAATGACGTGGCAAAAATCAATAGTAGTTAAATCGATAAAAATAAAAGTTTTTTTCGTCGTTTTTTTCAATGAATAAATTTATTTATTTATTATAAATATCGATTATTATTATTATTATACAATTATTTAATTTATTTTTTCATGTTATATCGCTTTTTATTTTTCTATTGACACGTGTGTGATTAATAAAAAAAAATATCCGAATGTTGTTAGTAAAAATCGAAATGATTTCGGCTCTAAATATTTTTCATTTATTTATTTTTAATAATCGTAATAATAATAATAATATTTATTTATTTTTCCAGAATCCTTTCTTATCATTTACTGAAATAAGTAATTAATTAATAACGGATGAAAAAAAAATTTTTTAAAAATGATGGAAAAAAAAAATAATTAGCGTAATGTTTATTTTTATGTGGTTCTGGTTGTTATTGTTGCTAAAGGAATAAGAAACGCACGAAATACATCACACGAAGAGTTTATAATATTATATTTTATATTATTATAATATAAATATATATATGTACGCTCTTTATTAGTTTTAATTTTTTAGTATAAGTTTTAATATAATTTTGTTATTGTAATTAATTTTTAACGGTTTTATTTTTTTAAATAAATTTTATTTTATTTTTTATATTTCGTCGTCCATTTCTCTCTCGTCCATTTTGTTTTTTCTTATCATTACGTATTTAATCAAAATTGATAACTCTAAATATTTTGGGGGGGGGGAGGAGGGAAAGGGGAAATATATATAACGAAATAAAAATTAAATTTTTTTTCCCATAAAAAAAAAAAAAAATTCGTAATCAGAAATTTTTTTTTTTTTTTAAATTTAAAATATTCAAGTTTCATTTGTTTTTTCGTTTGTTTGTACGACAAACGAGTCATGGAAAATTATTATTTAAAAATTTTAAACGTGGTGGTATAGGTTTTAGGCGACAGACAAAACGATCGATATTATTATTCGATTACACAATATTATGATATTTTTTTTATTTTTATTCCTCATTGTTTTATTTATCGATTGACCTTTTACAATATTTGACCTTCAATTTTTTTTTTTTTCTGTACGTATTTAATAATATTTACGTTTAAAATTATCCATTTTATTTATTCTTAGTATTATTATTATTATTATTATCATTTTCTATTCGTTACGCGATTTTTTTTTCTTATTATGCGTGAAAAAAATTTTTTTTTTATACGAAAGGAAACGTAAAAAAAAAATTTTAAGATTTTATTTTTCCCCCGTTTTTTTCTTTACGTAATAATATTAATAATAATAATGATAATAATATATATAGGTATTAAAAGAATTTATGACTGCGGATTCCCCTTCCCTCCGACCCCGTATAAAAAAAAAATTACTTTACATTATATTGTTTGCGTTTTTATATATGTATGAAAATATGGTAACTCGAAAATAAAAATAAAAAAAAAAATTATATTAAAGTATTGAAAAATGATAACGACTTTATCAACGCGATAAAATGATGTCGGCTCATAGTAGAAATATTATATATATTATATATACCATATAATATAATATGAATATATATTATATATATACTCGTCGTGAATTTAAATATATAAAAAATAATAATATTCTAACGAGGGGATGGATATACAATGTTCGAGATACGAATAATATTTTTAAAAAATTTGTTTCGATTATTATTATTATCATCGTACCGGTGATTTCGGGTTAATTATTATTATTATTATTATTAAGTTAATTAAAATCGAACGTTGAGTGTATGGGTAAAATAATAATAATTACAATTATTAATTAACAACTTGTATTAATTGAAAAAAAAAAAAAGATTCGTTTGTTTAATTTTAAAAATGGCGGCGGAATGTAAAGAGGGGGGAGGGGTGGAAACCGGCAGCGGTTGTAATTTTTTTTGCTAAAAAAAAAGGATTTTTTAATTTCAACTCGAACCTTTTTCTTTTTTTTGCTGGGATTTAAATCCTTTTTTTTTTGTTTGTTTGTTATAAAACATAAAAAATTAATGTTTTATTATAATTTTACCAAGAGAGTTATTATGTTTTTTATATAATTTTCTTTTTTAAAGGATTAACGTTAAAACGGTCGGTGGAAAATTCATTTTTTTTAAAGTACGCGCGTAAAAAAAACGCGGCGTAATTTTTTTTAAAGAAATAAAAAGATAAAATTTTTGCGTTTTTTTTTTGAAAACATGATAATAATCGAAATGATGATAAAATATTTCGCGTAAGAAAATGATAACACTATGTTTTTGTTGTTTAACAAACCGAAAAATTTTTACGAGTCAAATAAAATTATTATTATTATTATTTTCTTCGTCCTTTGTTTTTGTTTTTGTTGTTGTTGTTTTGGTCGTAGTTGCAGTTTTCAAAAAAAAATTTTTCGTAAAATATAATCAAACTTTAATATTTTATTTTTACTCGAAACAATAAAGTAATCCGGTAAAACAATAAACGCAACAAACAAACAAACAAACAAACAATGTTTGCGTTAACAGTCAGTTGCAAAAAAATTATTTTTAAAAAATTTAACAAAAAAATTTCATTTTTTTATCATTATTATCATTATCATTATCATTTTTTAAATTTTACGTTTTAAATTTCGTACCTGAATAGTTTTCTTTTTTTTTTTTTTTTTGTTAAATAAATACGCCATTTTTATTTTTAAAATTTTTCCCATGTTTCGTCTTAAACCTATAATAAGTTTCCGTTTCCGTTTTCGCTTTTGCCCCCTCCCACCCCGCCCCGCCTCTTTACAAATAATAATACATTTGTTGTTTTTCATAAATGAAAACATTAATCATATTTAAAATGTTTTTCGTCCAGTTTTTCTTTCCTTTTTACTGTGGCCATATCGTGGAACCCCCAATCGTGATCGGACGTCATCGCGGGGGGAAGTTAATATTATTATTATTATGTTAATTTTCTTCGTACACCCTACGAAAAAACTTGTTGCGCGTAAAAAAAAAAACGTCCACGTGTAGTTTTTCAAACTAAACGCGACCGTTACCTATGGAAAAAAAAAATAAAATGTATATTTAATTATTTAAATAATAATATTTATTTATTTATTTTGTTTTTATTTATTTATTTATTTTTTCAATAATTTCACGAAGAAGTTTCAATGAAAAAAAAAAAAAAAAAATTTTTGTTTTTTTTTTAATCAACACAATTGAGGCTCTCAAGGTTTGTTTTCCGGTTTTTCAACCCAAAAACCCCGAAAAAAAAAAAAATTTTCGAAATGCTTGGCAAAAATAATAATAATGATAATAATAATTTACTTAATGTCGTTTTTAACGTTAATAATAATAATAGTAAATAAATAAAAAGTTATGAATTCTTTACAACGTAACTTTTCTATTTTAAATTAAAATATGAAAAACGTTATGAAATGCATTTTTTTAAAATGTAATTAATAAGAAAAGTTTTATTATGTTGCACCGTCGAAAACATTAAAATAATAATAATAATAACAATATTAATTAAAATATTACGTAATAATAATAATAATAATAATAATAATAATAATAATAATAATAATAATAAAACTAAACAAGCAAGAACGCGATTGGGAAAAAAAATTATTTTTTAAACAAAAAAAATTAATAATAATTATTATTATTAATATATTTTTATGTTTTTTTTTTTTTACAAATTATTATTTTATTTTAAAATTAATTAAACAATTTATTTATTTACGCGATCGTTTAATAATAATAATAATAATAATAATAATAATAATAATAATAGTACTAGAAAAAAAGAAGAATTTTATTTACGGTAATTAAATCAATTAAACAAAATGTTTTTATAAAGTGTATTGTAAACAATGACACGTGCGTGTTTGTATGCGTGTTTGTGTGTGTGTTTTTGTGACAAGAAAAACACAAGGTGTTTGTGTGTGTGTTTTTTTTTTTTGGAAATATTTGGTCGTTCGAAAAAAAAAAATTTATAAATTACGTCAGAAGGTCGTTTATAATAATAGTAGTTATAATATTAATAATAATAATAATAATAAATAAAATGAATGGTATTATCACAGCTCACGTCGACGTACCACGCAGGGGTGACTGGCAAACGTGTTTAAATATAAATAAACATAATTTACGAAAAAAAAAAAAAAAAAATTTTAAACAGGGTCCATCGTTGGTATAAAACCACTCGACAACATACAGATAAACATCAGTTAACTTACTGTTTTTTTACGTTGATAACACATCACAAAAAAATGTTTTTCGAATTTTTTGCTGTCGCGTTTTTGACGGGTTTGAGTCATCAAATTCAAGCTTTCGTACGTATTCGTTTGTAAATTTCAAAAACAAAAAATTTTAATTTTAATGTAATGTTTTAATGTTTTATTTTTTTTTTTTGTTCGTTAGGATTGTAAACCACAGCAAAACATATTAATAAACACGAAACAAAATTTAGGAGATCCGAGAAATTTTAAAAGTTTTTTCGATGATAATATAACGACGGGAAAACCCGTAACGAGACACGTTTTTTCTAAAGGAAAATATCCGATTTCTTTAAATTTTCCCCAACAGGCAATGGAAACGAAAATACCAGTAACGGTCACACACGTTAGAGCACCGTTACAAGAAAAACCGATTATACATCTACCGGTTGAAATACCACCTCCTAAAACCGTCGCTCATTCTTGCACCTGTTATAAAACCATTTTAAAACCGTCTGGACAACAGCAAATAATTGCCATACCGTCACTTCAACAATTCATCGATGGTCAAGTCATCAAACCCATACAATTCGATAATATTAATTCAAACGGTATGAACGGTATAAACGGTATAAACGGTATAAACGGTATAAACGGTATAAACGGTATAAACGGTATAAACGGTAACGGTAACGGTGGTGGTAATTTATTGATAACGACACCCGTCGAACCTACTCCTCCGCCATCTGGAATTCAAATTTCACAAGTTGATACTTTAAATTTCCCACGGATTCAAACCATTCAATTTCCTAAAATTCAAACCGTTCAAACCCTTCGTCAAATTCCTCAAGTTCAATTAATTGAAATTCCAAGAGTTGAATCTTTTCAAGTTCCGACAGCGCAAAGTTTTAAGCCTAACTGCTTTTCCGTGTTACAAACCTCGTAAAAGAAAATCATTTGCGGTTTTTTATCACTCTCTTTTACTCCCTCTTCTTCTGCTGATGCTGTTTGTTATTGTCCTCTGAATCTTTTTTTAAACTCGTTTTTCACAATTTTTTATTAATTTTATTTTTGTTGCGCATGTTGATTTGTTTAAATTTTTTTTTTATTTTTTGTTATTTAAAATTTTTTTTTATACGCGAATCTTGTTATCATTATTATTATTATTAATTAATAATAAAAATTTTTTTAAATATATTTTATATTATTATTTGATTAAAAATAAAATATTTTTTGTTAATAAATAAAAACGTTAATTAAAAAAAAATAAAAATTTTTTCACCAAAAAAAAAAAATTATAATTTGAAAAGTGAAAGAGAGAGGGAGGGGCGAAGAGGGAAAAGGGGAGGAGTAGAGGGAGGAAGAAGGAGGAGGAGAGAAAGAGCGAAAAACGAGAAGAAGAAACAAAAGAAAAATGATTTTAACAACTGCTGCTGCAGTTGTAGGTGTTAACTGTCGTTTTGGTAATTAATTCTCTCTCTCTCTCTCTTTCTTTCTTTCTCTCTTTTCTCAACATTTTGCTGTTGTTTTATTATTACTATTATTATTATTATTATTATTATTTATTACATATTATTTTACAAAAATTCGACTCAAGCTTTACGTAAGAATGTTTCAAATGATTTTTATGCATCACCAACAGCATAATGCTCCGTGCTCGCTCGTGTAACAACTAAAAAAAATTTTACTTTTTATAAAAGTTTTTTTTTTTTTTTATTTTCTCGTTTGTTTTGAAAGTTTTAAATTTATAAAAAAATTTTATATATTTTTAGAAATCTACCCTCGGAATTTGCCCCCTTCCTCCCCGAAAAAAAAATTCTGGAATTAATTAAAAGACAGTAAAAACAAAAAAAAAAAAAATTTACTCTATTGTCGTACACAAAAATTTATTTATTTATTTTTTTTTTTTTATTATTCGAAAGCTGTGGGGAGGGGTGGAGAGGGAAGATTGGGGGGCAAATAAAAGAAAAAAGGGCTAATTTGATATAAAAAAAAAAAAAATAACAACAACAACAAAAATTAATTCTCTCGTCCGTTTTTTTTTTTTTTTACAAGCAAATTAATTTTTTTTTTTTTTGGGGGTGCAATCAATCAAAGCGTTCGTTAGAATAAAAACCAACGAACGAACGTACGAACGAACGGTTTTCATGTTATTTTTTTTTTATAAAAAAAATTAAAAACTCGCGTCAACGTTGCTGCTGCTGTTCCTGTTGTTGTTGTATTTATTACCGTAGTAATTATTTTCTATAAAATATACAGAAAAGATTATTAAGGGTGATAATCCAAAAACTTTTTGAAATTGAAGCTTGAAAAGTTTTTAAGCTATTAATATTTATAACTTTTCATCTCTTGGGAAAATTTTTCGCAATGTTATTTGTTACCAACAAATGTATATTATTATTATTATTATTATCATCATCATCTAACTGTAACTTATAGTTAACAATTTAAAACTTTTTAAATGATATGAATAGAAAACTAGAAAATATTTTTTTTTTACGAGTAATAAATATTATTATCATTATTATTCCTTCTTTTTTTTGTTTTCGGTATAAACCCGGTCGAGTTTTTAAAAAAAAAAAAAATAAACAGGATAAATTTTGTCCCTCAGCAAGGAAAATTCGTTGATAATAATTTTTTTTATCATGATTATTATTATTTTATTACGGGTAATTTTTAATTCGTGATTTATTATTACCCGTGGTAAATGTATACGAAAAACGTGAATAAAGGAAAAAGTTTTTTTTGTTTTTAATAATCGTTATCATATAAAGTTTATTATATCTATTGTAGACGTACCAAATATAGTATTTAATCGATAGTCTAGTAGACATGATTTGATTTCCTCGTCTGAGAGACAAACAAACAAACAAACGAATAAACAAACAGTAATAATAAAATAATTTTTTTATATATATCGGATCGTTTGTGAAAAGAAATTTTTTCTATTTACAAAACGTTTTTAATTATTAAATTGTAGTTTTTTTTGTAGTTATTTATACTTTTCGAAACGTTTTATTTTTTGTAATAAAAATAAAAATAAAAATAAAAGGAAAAAAAAAAAAACATCGAACGTATTTGGAAGTTTAATGGGGGGAAAATAAAAAAAAAAAAAAAAAAAAATTTAACGTATCATTGGATTACTCGACATCGCAACAATTTACAGAAAAAAATGTTTTTTTTTTTCTCTGTCTGTGATGTGTGTGTGTGTTCGAAAGAGGGGGGATAGAGGGGAAATGAAAGAAGAAAAATTGAAATGATGATGATGATGATGGTGGTGGTGGTGGTGGTGGAAATGGTTTTTTCGAAAATTTGAGAAAAATCAATTTTGCGGTTGAACAGTTTCGATAAATTTGAAATTTTTATAACTGAAAACCCGTTTAAAGTTTTAAATTATTGAAAGTCCGAAAAGGTTTCAAGGGTTGATTTCTTAAAGGTTATTTACCGGGAGGAGGGGTGTGGCCTGGAGAAGGGGGGAAAAAAGAAGCATCGGCATTTCGAGTATCGTTAAATGTTGTCGAGTTTTCCCCCCCCCTTCCCCCTCTTCGTCGTACGGTAAAAAAAAATCCCATTTGTAACAACTCCTAAAAATTTACAATTATTTTACGACTTTGTATCGCGTTGATTTTTTTTTTTTTAATACGTTTTATCAATTACGAGAAGGAAATGAAAACCAACATGTGATTTGATCCCCCCCAAGCCATCCGCCCCCTTTCTCCCCCACAATTTTATCCGGAAAATTTTTAACCTATAAAAAAAAATTTCCACAAAAATTTTATTGGCCTCCTTATTTTCCTACTCGCTTTCCGATAAAAATAAAAATAAAATTTTTTTTTTTCCATTAAGTAAAACTTACCCATTATTATTATTATTATTATTATTAATTCGTTAAATAACGAACGCGTGAATCGTGAACGTAAAAAATTTACCGTTTATGTGTATTACCTCATCCGCAGTACGATAGAGAAAAAGTGAACATAAATCGAATAAAATTTTTCCTTTATAAAAAAAAAGCGATGATGCGAACGTCATTTGATAAAAATTAATGATAACGAACGCGCCTAAAATTGATCCGAACGCCTAATTTTAACAAAATGTTTAACAAAAAAAAATTGCAACAAGTTTTTTTCCTAATCGTAATAAAAAATTTTTTTTTTTTCTTTATCATTTCAAAAATTAATTTTATCGATTGATTTTGTAACGAAAAATCGATCGATGGATGGATCGATCGATCGTTACGAAAAAAATTTAAGGTGATAATAATTAATAATTAATTATTATTATTATTATTATTATTGTTTTTTTTGCATGTGTTTTCAACCGAACAAAAGAAAAAAAAAAAGTTTAAAAAAAAAAGTTTATTGTTTGTTTACCCTTTTTTTTATTTGTGTTAACAATAAAGAAACAAACGGTGAACGCCATGAGCCAGGGATTTTTTTTTTTGTATTGATAATCCGTTGGTTTTATTTAACACCTTATGTTTTTCTTAATTATAAGAATTTAAAACAATGCACACACACACACACACTCACGCATACAAACACACACAAATTTTTTTTTTAACAAGTTAATCAAATTAAGATTACACGTTCGAGCTGAAAACAAAGCTGAAAAAATTTTTTTTGTTGTCATAGTTTGTTGTTGTTGTGTAACTGTCAGCAAATTTACTCATCTTTTCTTATCGATTCCTTCTACCCCACGCATATAAGAATTCAGACATTTAAAAATTTCAAAACTTTTAATTAATTTTATGCAAACCATCATCATCATCATCATCACAACAACAACAACAACAAAAACAATAATTGTTTTATTTAAATTTTTTTTTTGTAACGCGAACGTTTTATTTATTCCTGTCGTTGTTTTTACACTTCACCTTCATCTCATTTATACATTTAATTAATTAACCAAAAAATAAATAAATAAATAAATAATAATAATAATAATGATAATAATTTTAATTACGTTTTTACCGAAATTTTAACCAAAAGAATTTCTCCCGAATTTTTTTTTTATTACCCGAACGGCCTTGATTATATTTAAAAATCCGTTCGATATATTTATAATATTATCATCATGAAAATTTTGATATAATAAATAATTTTTAACTCTTCCGCCATTAAAATGAATATATCTTATTATTATTATTATTATTAATATCCGTGAGAAATAAAAATAAATAAAATATTTTTAGTTATGATAATTTTATTAAAATAATAATAATGATAATGATATTATTCGTTTGTTATTTAATTAATTATTATTATTAAAAAAAAAAAAACTCATCATTATTTTTTATCAATTTATAAAAATTCTTTTTTTATCGCCAATACAAAAAACGGAAAGTAATAAAAATAATGATAATGAAAATAATGAAAATAATGAAAATAATAATAATAATAATAAAATTGAGAAATTATTTGTTTGTTTTTTTTTATTATAATATTTTATAAAAAAAAAAAAAAATTCGAAAAAATTTTCCTTTTTTTTTTTTTTTTTGGTTTTTTTTTTTTGCGTAACGAAATTAATATTAGTTTTTTTTTATTTTTTTTGGGGGGGGGGGTGAGGGGCTGTGAAATTGTTTATTTATTTAAACAAATACCAACAACTGTCAACGAATATTTCAATTGTTTAATTTTTTTAAATATTTAAAAAAAAAAAAAAAAGAATAATAATAAAACAATAAACTCGTTTATATTTGTAATGAAAACAATCAATCATTAAACATTTTAATAATAATAATAATAATATTATTATTATTATTTTACTATTATTATTATTATTACTACGTAAAATATTAGTATCGATCAAATTTTGACCCTAGGAATAAAAATTGCCGCGTGTATAAAATTTTTTTTTAAAAGATTTTTCCATGTTGCAAATTAAAAATTTCGAATAAAAGCCTCCTCTCCCCCCGTTTTTTTACCTTTCTCCCTTTTTAAAAACCTTTTTTTTTAAAAAAAAAAAAAATAATAATAATAATTTTTGTGTAATAAAATGGGATTTTAATTAAGTAAATCTTTAACTCGTTAAAAAAATCCTTTAAAAAATTTTAATGAAGATTTTTGTATACAAAAAAAAAAAAAAATTTAACACGAGAAAAAAAAGAAAAAATTTAAAAAAAAAAAAAAAGAAAATAGCGGCGATAAGATACATAAGCCAAACCGTCAAGCTTTTTTTTTTTTTTTTTTTTTTTTTTTTTAAAATAAAGGGAGAAAACAATGATTTTTGTATTGTACGAGTTCTATCAATTTAAACGTATCTCATCCGTGAGAAACAAACAACTGCGAAGGAGTAAACAAAGTAACTTATTAGTATATATAATCGGTGGTCTAACTGGTAAACATCATCATTCAATTTCCTTCATTCACACAGGAAGACAAGCACCAAAAAAACCTAAAAAAATGATCGCTAAGTGCATTGTCGTTTTGGCCATCGTTGCCCAAATCAACGCTAACGTGAGTATTATTATTATTACAATTTGTAGTGAATTTTTACGGTTTTTTTTTTTTTAAATTTAAAATTTTCTAACCTTTTAATATTTTTTTCTTAAAAAATTTAAGGTTTGCTCCTCTAACTACGGTGTCGGTAGCCAAGTTTCCGGAGGACAAACCGTTGCCACTAGAAACATCGTTGCCAGAGGAAAATACCCAGTTGTTTTGCAAAACCCAGGTCCAGCCATCGACAAGCGCGTCCCAGTTACCACCTCCCACGTTCAAACTCCAGTCCAAGTTAAGCCAACCGTTCGTCTTCCAGCTTGCATCCCAGCTCCAAAAACCGTTTCCCACACCTGCACCTGTTACAAGACCGTCATGAGACCAACCGTTCAACAACAATACATCACCGTTCCATCTGTCCAACGTTACATCGAAACCACTCACCAACCAGTTGTTGAACACATCCACTACGAAGCTTGCCCAGTCAACTGCCCAGACACCGTTTCTGAAGTTGCTTACGCTAGACCAATGGTCGGTAACGTTGTCGGTGTTGCCACTCCAGTTCAAGTTGCCTCTGCCGTTCCAGTCGCTACCTTTTCCACCGGTTGCCAACAATGCGTTTGAGTGCATAAATTATTTTGAAAAAAAAAAAAAACAAAAAAAAAACCAACAAACAACTTTGGCCAAAATAAACGCTAAAATTTCCATTTAAAAAAAAAAAAACTTTTCTCTTTCATTTAAACATCACAAAACACCCCCCGCCCTGCTGCCCCCCCCCCTTCACACACTCTTCAACTTTGAACTTTAAATTCTGTGTGACGTCATCAAAAAGAACGTTTCACAATTATTCGATTTCATGTTAAAACAAATATATATATAAATATAAATAAATAAAGAAAAATATATTTTTTGAAATAAAAATTACATGTTTTTAAATTTTTAATTATAAATAAAAACAAAATGTCGTCGAGTCATTATTTCCAGCAAATGTTTTCCACTCAGTAAACAAAAATAATATTCTCTGGAATTCTGGAAAATTTTAAAATTTTTAAACAGAAACAGAAAAAAAGAACTAAAACGAAACCGAGCATTTTTTTTTTTTTAAATAATTATTTTAATTGAAAAATTCGTTATTTTGTGCATAATTAAAAAAATTAAATTAAATTAATCGTAATAATGATAATGATAATAATAATTATGATAATAATAATTATGATAATAATAATTATGATAATAATAATTATGATAATAATAATTATGATAATAATAGTAAAAATGACGAGGACGACGCCATTTTTATGTATATTATCGTCAGTTAAAAAAAAAAAAAATATGAATTTTTGGAAAAATGTTTTTTTTTTTATTATAAAATAGTGTGAATTAATTAAAAGTAAAATTTTGTTGTTGTTGTTGTTGTTGTCGTTTGTTGTTATTATGTGCGAGTAAAGTTTGACGGTTGTAGTTGTTGTTATACGGATAGAAATCATGCGAGAATTATTTTTTTTTTAAAGTTTTTGGGCGGGGTAAGTAACTCAAAAAAAAATTTATTTTAAATTATTTATAGCGCTATAAAATCAAACTTTTAACATAAAACGGTTTCAAATTTTGGCAACAAGCGCGAAATCAAAATTTGATTTTTTTTTCAATATGACAATTTTCATTTCCGGTACAAATAAAACGTAAAAAAAATTTTTTTTAAACGGTTTTTTGAATTTTTTTGGAAAAAGGCGCCATTTAATAAAAAAAAAAAATTTTAATAGATCGAAAGAAGGAAACACTAGAGTCCAACAATTAAAATGAAGCCATCATTATTATTATTATTATTACAAAACATTAAAAAAGAAAAAAGTTAACGAACGGAACACATAACATTCTCTCGTACATTTTTTTTAAATCAAAAATCGTGTTCGTTTTATTTAATAATAATAATTAATATAGTATTATTAGGAAAACGTCACGACGTCACGGTTCTTCCTATTGTCTTTTTTTTTTTTTTTTTTTACAATCTCTCGTCGTATCATTTCACACATAAACAAAAGTAATAAATAACGTTCGAACGTTTAAATTACGTTCGAAACTTATCTCGTATTATTTTTTTTTTCAATTCGATTCCATCACGATTTTTAAATTTTTTCTAATACATTTCCTGTTGCGTTTTTTTTTTTTTTGCGTTAAAACATTATTTTTTAAATGACGATTTTATCATTTCCGGTTTTGACGTAATTAAAACAAAAAAACATAAAATTGTTCTGGTTATTTCGTTTTAGTATAACGCGATGTGTTTTTTTTGACACGTTTGTTTTTCTTTATTCATAGTTAGAAAAATTAAGTTGATAAAAAATTTTATAAAACATAACAAAACAATAATTTTCTAAAAATAAATAACTTATTTAAATAATGTGGCGAGAAACATTGTGCTGAGTAAACATAATCGTGTTGACCGTTGTTATAACCGAAGATTGTTTTCGGTCAAGGTTTATAAAAAAAAAAAAAAAATGAAAAACAAACAAACAATCGGGAAATTTTAAGAAAAAAAAAAAAAAGAAAAATTTCAAAATCGATTATTGATCATTATTAATTAATAAATTATTAATTAAAATATAAAATTTTACACAAAATAATTTTGATCGATCCCTTTTATTATTATTATTATTAGAAAAGGTATTTAATAGGGTTATCGAAAAGAGTAGAATTAAATAAAAGGTTTAAAAAAAATATAATGTTCGATTTATGTTTATATTAAATTATGTTTTATTTATGTATATAAAATAATATATATATGGAACAGTAAACATAAACTGAAAACATATATACTCATTTATAAAATAATATACATAAAAATTTACTTATTTTATTAATTATTGTGATGTGAAATGTTAAATGTTATAAAAACGACGTGCGAGTAGAAACGACTAGAACGTTTCTAAATACACGTCGTTTGGGTCGAATTCAAATCAAAGCATAAGTAAAAACGTCCTGAATGATTGAATATGAATAAATTAATGATTATAAATAATAATGATTAAGTGACGTAGATGATGAGAAAAAAATTAAATTAAAATGGCGGAGGATCAAAGAAATGAATTTATGAACATTGAGAGCATCCGGAGTTGTTCAAGACCGAAAGAGATGAGAATTGTGGGACTTGAACAGATTGGAGTTGAACTTGTGGAACTTGAACGGTTTGTTGGCATTGTGGAACTTGAACAGATTGGACTTGGACTTGTGGGACTTGAACGGTTTGGACAGATTGAACGTTTTGTTGGCATTGTGGAACGGTTTGGAGGGTTGGAACGTTTTGGACCAATGGAAGTTGAACGGATTGGAATTGGAGGTTTTGAACTTCTGGGACTTGAACGGATTGTTGGCATTGTGGAACTTGGACGGTTTGGACAGTTTGGACTTGTGGAACTTGGACAGATTGAAGTTGGCATTGTGGAACTTGAACTTCTGGAACTTGGACGGTTTGGACAGATTGAACGTTTTGTTGGCATTGTGGAACGGTTTGGAGGGTTGGAACGTTTTGGACTAATGGAAGTTGAACAGATTGGAATTGAAGGTTTTGAACTTCTGGGACTTGGACGGATTGTTGGCATTGTGGAACTTGGACTTCTGGAACTTGAACGGTTTGTTGACATTGTGGAACTTGAACGGTTTGTTGACATTGTGGAACTTGAACGGTTTGGAGTTGGCATTGTGGAACTTGAACAGTTTGGACGTTTTGGGTGTTCTTGCAGGATTCTTCAGAGTTTTGTTCTCCTCCGACCTTGGTGAAAACGTATCCGGTGTTGGATTCTTCGTTGCAGTTGGTTGGGCAAGCTTCGTAGTGGATGTTTTCAACGACTGGCTTGTGGGTGGTTTCGATGTAACGTTGGACGGATGGAACAGAGACGATGTGATCGTGGACACGTGGTCTCATGACGGTCTTGTAGCAGGTGCAAGAGTGAGAGACGGTTCTTGGGGCTGGGATGGAGTATGGAAGACGAACAGTTGGCTTAACTTGGACTGGAGTCTTGACGTGGGAGGTGGTGACTGGGATTTGTCTGTCTGGAGTTGGTCCGCAGTTGCACAAAGCGACTGGGTATTTGCCCTTGATGACGATGTTTCTGGTAAGGACACCGTTAGATTCGGAGGTCTTGACATTAGCGGTAAGAGTGTTACCGTTTCCGTTTCCGTTTCCGCATCCACATCCATTGTTAGAAACAACAACAGCGCGTTTGTCGCAGTTCTGTAAACAATAAATAATTTAACATTAATTTTGCTTAAAAGGAAAAATCTAGAAAAAAAATGTAACCTTTTTACTTAATTACCATTGGTTGAGCAACAGCAAGGGTTGCCAAAAGAGCAACAAGACAAAACTTAGCAATCATTTTTTAGTTTTTTTTTTTTTTTTTGGTTAGTACCAGATAGGTCAATGTAAGTGAATTGAATACAACATTTAAGTGCCTGCATTATATACCAATCATTTTTAATGTTTACAATAAAATTGTTGCGTTTGTTTGTTGGACCGCCGGCACGTTCTTTTTAAGTCAGCTAAAGATAATTTTTTTTTTTGTTAACCATTTATGTTAAGCAATTTTTTATTCTTTTTTTTTGTTTTTTTTTTTCATTACGGGTAAATTTCGTCTTACCTTTTTTTTTGGTTCATTTAACATAATTGGTAAAAGTACGTTGGTTTTTTTTTTAAATAAAATCAAATTTTTTTTGAAAATAATGACCGACTTACAACCATTTTTAAAAAAAAATTTTGTTTTTTTTTTTTTTTTTTTTTATCTATAAACATAAAAATTATGTTCGATATGTAAATAACATTATCATATATCATAATCTCCAATTATGTTTTTCTCTCTATCAATAAAATATTACAAGATATAAAAACATTTAAAAGTTTACATAATAACAAAACAAAAAAAAAAAATTTATGACACTTTTCCTTTTTTTTCTTTTTGAAATAAATTTTTTTTGTTGTAGTTTATGTAATGTCTACCCTTTAACCTTCTTCTTCTTCTTTTAAGGATACTATAGTAACTGGCAGTTAGATTACAAAAAGAGACTTACTTTTTTAAACAGAGAAATGATAATATTTTATCTATATCAAAAGCATGGAAAATGATTGTCAGCTCCGGTCATTGTTTTACACATTATATAAATAAAGCAAACGTTCAATTTTTCTTTTTATTTTCTTATTAAAGTCTGAACAATTTTAACGAAAAATTGAATCCGTAAATTAACACAAAAATATGCAAATAATAATAATAGTTTTTAATACAAAATAAATTTTTTAAAAGAGAAATAAATATATATTAATATATGTCCAATTATTATTTTAAAAAATCGGTAATAATTTAGGGGAAGAGAAGGGGTTTGGGGGGGGGATGAAATAGAAAAAAATTTTGATCGAAACAAAAAACAAAGAAAAAATTTTTTTGAAAAGTTTAATATTATATTAATTTAATATAATATTAAAATATGATGAGTAGTTAAAAAAAAAAAATTTACTTTGCTGATCAAACACCATATTAAAGGAAGAAAAACACGAGCGTAAATAATGTTTAAAACACAAACACAATACCCGGTTAGGTATATTGACCTCCACGGTAGTAGCATTATCTTTTATGAAAAAAAAGCTGAGTCAAGTTAAAACGTTTCAAAGCAAATTTTTACGTACCGTTTTCATTGTAAACATGACTGAACTAGATACTATATAAAATTTTGCGAATATCACACTGACATCAATTCATTTCCTTCTTCTGAACTTGATAAACAGATTTCAAAAATGATCGCTAAGTGTCTTGTTATTTTGGCCATCGTTGCCCAAATCAACGCTTCCGTAAGTAATTTATAAAATAAAATAAAAAGGTATGATTTTTTTAAAAAAGGCTAGGGAATAATTTTCAAAATGATTTAAAATAAAATTTAGGGATGCGACACTCGTGCCGTTGTTGTTTCTAACAATGGATGTGAATGCGGAAACAGAAACGGAAACGGTAACGGTAACACTCTTACCGCTAATGTCAAGACCTCCGAATCTAACGGTGTCCTTACCAGAAACATCGTCATCAAGGGCAAATACCCAGTCGCTTTGTGCAACTGCGGACCAACTCCAGACAGACAAATCCCAGTCACCACCTCCCACGTTAGAACTCCAGTCCAAGTTAAACCAACTGTCCGTCTTCCATACTCCATCCCAGCCCCAAGAACCGTCTCTCACTCTTGCACTTGCTACAAGACCGTCATGAGACCACGTGTCCACGATCACATCGTCTCTGTTCCATCCGTCCAACGTTACATCGAAACCACCCACAAGCCAGTCGTTGAAAACATCCACTACGAAGTTTGCCCAACCAACTGCAACGAAGAATCCAACACCGGATACGTTTTCACTAAGGTCGGAGGAGAACAAAACTCTGAAGAATCCTGCAAGAACACCCAAAACGTCCAAACTGTTCAAGTTCCACAATGCCAACTCCAAACCGTTCAAGTTCCACAATGTCAACAAACCGTTCAAGTTCCAGAATTCCAAGTTCCACAATGCCAACTTCAATCTGTTCAAGTTCCACAATGCCAACTTCAATCTGTTCAAGTTCCACAATGTCAACAAACTGTTCAAGTTCCAGACGTCGAAGTTCCACAATGCCAACTCCAATCTGTTCAAGTTCCACAATGCCAACTTCAATCTGTTCAAGTTCCACAATGCCAACAAACCGTTCAAGTTCCACAAGTTCAATCCTTCCAAGCCGTAGCTGCCCCACAAGTTCAAACTGTTGAATTTCCACATGTTCACGTTCCACAATGCCAACAAAACGTTCAATCTGTTCAAACCGTTGAAGTCCCACAATGCCAACAAACCGTCCAAGTCCCACAAGTTCAATCTTTCCAAGCCGTAGCTGCCCCACAAGTTCAAACTGTTGAATTTCCACATGTTCACGTTCCACAATGCCAACAAACCGTCCAAGTTCCACAATGCCAACAAACTGTTCAAGTTCCAGACGTTCAAGTTCCACAATGCCAACTCCAATCTGTCCAAGTCCCACAAGTTCAATCTTTCCAAGCCGTAGCTGCTCCACAAGTCCAAACTGTTGAATTCCCACACGTTCAAGTCCCACAATGCCAACAAAACGTTCAATCTGTCCAAACCGTTCAAGTTCCACAAGTTCAACTCCAATCTGTTCAAGTCCCACAATACTCATCTTTCTCGGTCTTGAACAACTCCGGATGCTCTCAATGTTCATAAAATCATTACTTTGATCTCCGCATCGTAACTTAATATTAACGCCCATTAATTATTTATAATCATTAATTTATTCATATACAATCATTCATGACGTTTCATCTTATCATGCTCCGATTCGAACTCGCCCCTAACTTCGTGTATTTAGAAACGTTCTAGTCGTTTCTATTCGTACGTCGTTTGCATCACCCGAAAGCTCATAGCTTTCATATCATTTACATTAAAAACATTTACATTTCACATCACAATGTTAAATTTGTATAAGTAATATGTTTAATTGTAAAATATTATTTGTAACAATTTTAATATAATTTAGTAATATTTATTTATAATTATTGATTTTTTATTTTCTTATATATTTTGTCGTCTGCTGCATTTTAAAACCAATTTGCCGCCATTTTTTAAAATCGTAAAATGCTTCAATTGTGTCGTTTGCGTTTAAAAATTCATTTATTACGATTACTCTTTATATTTCGCAATGGCTAATCAATATTTTGATTTTACATTATAATCATGAATAATAATAATAATACATTTTTTTTAATAAAATACTTATTTGAAAATTATAAATTTGCGGATGGTTTATCTTCAAATTGTTAAAATCATTTTTTTTTTTTTAATATTAAACAATCAATATTCTTAATCAGATAGTTAAATTTGTTTTGGTTTTAATATGCTTTATTTATTGTTTGTTTGTTTTGTAAAAAAAAATTTACTTAAATTTGTAAATATTTTATTCGATTCTATTTGATATAGTAAAAATAAAATTAATTGTAAACATTCAGGTTTTAGGTATAATAATAATAAAAAATTTAAACATTTTTTTTTTTTAACAATAAGTTTTTACTATAGGAAAGAATAACGAACGGTTTCCGTTCTGATAAGCAAGAATAAACCGTCCGTTCGCTGTGTTTGTTCTTACTTTTATCGATAGAATCGATATTTTTTGTTTTTCCACACAGTACTGCCCAAATATTTTAATTTCTTTATTAATGTGATTAGAGATGACAAAACCGGAAGTATATGCGTGGTTTTCTTTGATGGGTTACGAAGGAGGGAAGCGGTGGCGGTGATTAGTACGTTAGTAGTAAACGTTCCTTCCGGTGTAAATTTAATTTTTTTTTTTTTTCCCTTCCGCCGAATTTTCAAAAATTTTTATTTTATTATTATTATTATTATTATTATTATTATTATTATTATTATTATTATTATTTGTAATTATTAAATTATTAATATTAACTTAAATTATTTTTTTCCCATTGGCTGTCATTTTTCCGACGTATTTTTTTCCTCTTCCTCATAAATAAAAAACTAAACAACTACTAGAATGTTCTTTTTCTAATATTTTTTTTCATATTATTATATTATATTAAATTTTATTATATATATTAAATTAATTATAATATATTATAAACAAACTAAATTATTTATTTATTTAGAAAAAAAAAAAAATTTAAAAACGTGACTTTTAGAACCAATTAAAACTAAAATAAATAAATTTATTAAATATCGGTTAATCGATTATTATTAAAATTATTTAAAATAATTAATAATTTAATTAATTAATTAATTAAACATCAAAGTGTTTCTTTAAATAATTTTTGTTTTTTTTTTTTTTTTGGGGGGGGTAAAAAAGAAAAGCAGACGAAACATTTTTTTTTAATATAAATGTTAGAGTGTGGAATTATTTTATCTATTGGTAAAAAAAAATTATCAATATAATTATTAAAAAAAAAAACGAATAATTTTTTTATTCGTTACCATTTAATACCCTCTCCACCCCCATTTCCCCCCCCCAAAAAAAAAAAGAAAGAGGGAGAGAATTCGAAAAATAATAATAATAGTAAAAAAACATTTTCGATAAATATTTTATATAGCGTATCATCATAAATAACTCGATAAATGTATGAGCCTGCCAAGTAAAAGCTCTAATCAACTAAAAACGAAAAACCTATAAAAAGTTTTACCGAAAAAGAGATAGAGAGAGAGAGAGGTAGAGTGAGAGAGAGATGAAAAAAAGGAACCTTTTTACATTAAAAATTAATTTAAATGTTATAATTTTAACATTTTACATAAAATTCAACGTTTTTTTTTTTTTTTGTTTTCGCATAAGTACTTTAATTTATGTACACTTGAAAATATATAAAAAAATTAATAAATTTAAAATAAACTATAGCCACGTCATATAAATTAAAATTTTATTATTATTATTATTATTATTATTATTATTATTATTATTATTATTATTTTACGAAAAAACTTTTTTTACGAATTTATTAATTTTACGAAAAATTTTTTTTTAAATATAAATGTTTATGAGTATTTTTTTAACATCTATATAAATTTTATTACTTTTTTTTTTTTATTACGAGTAATTTTTTTTTTTTACGCGTTCGAAAAGCACACAAGCGAACGGCTACAATAATAATAATAATAAGAAGAAGAAGGAAAAATGTTTTAGTAATGATTAGACAGGTTAAGAAATAAAAAAATAAATTTTATCTCTCTCGTGGTAGAAAATATATTATGAAATTACCAAACAAAAAAGAAACAAAATAAATTTAATGATTTTTTTGCCCCCCCCCCACCAAAAAAAAAAATTTACATACGCAGCAGTAATTTGTTAACGTTTTTTTTATTTATCACCGCATCCATCGATATAACGTGCCGAAATATTAAAAAACATAGATTATAAATTTAATGTAAACAAGTCTTTGAATTGGTATAAAATCTCCGCACGAGTATGTAAATATCACTTCAGTCATTTCCTTCTTTATTTTAGTATAACATCTAAAAAAACGGAAAAAAAAATTACAATGATCGCCAAGTGCATCGCTATTTTGGCCATTGTTGCCCAAATCAACGCCTCCGTAAGTTTTTAATGATTTTTTACCTTTTATTTCCATTTTTTTATTTTGAATTTGTTAATGATTTAATAAGGAAAAACTCGTAATACTACCTTTAAATTTTTAAATTTTAGACCTGCAACACCCGCTCTGTCGTTGTTGCTAACGACAACGGTGTTTCTGCCGTTAACGGAGCCAACACTCTTTCTGCTAATGTCAAGACCTCCGAATCTAACGGAGTCCTCACCAGAAACATCGTTGTCAAGGGCAAATACCCAGTCGCTTTGTGCAACTGCGGACCAACTCCAGACAGACAAATCCCAGTCACCACCTCCCACGTCAAGACTCCAGTCCAAGTTAAACCAACTGTCCGTCTTCCATACTCCATCCCAGCCCCAAAAACCGTCTCTCACTCTTGCACTTGCTACAAGACCGTCATGAGACCACGTGTCCACGAACAAATCGTCACCGTTCCATCCGTCCAACGTTACATCGAAACCACCCACAAGCCAGTCGTTGAAAACATCCACTACGAAGCTTGCCCAACCAACTGCAACGAAGAATCCAACACCGGATACGTTTTCACCAAGGTCGGAGGAGAACAAAACTCTGAAGAATCCTGCAAGAACACCCAAAACGTCCAAACTGTTCAAGTTCCACAATGCCAACTCCAAACCGTTCAAGTTCCACAATGTCAACAAACCGTTCAAGTTCCACAATGTCAACAAACCGTTCAAGTTCCACAAGTCCAAAACGTTCAATTCCAATCTGTCCAAGTTCCACAATGCCAACAAACCGTCCAAGTCCCACAAGTTCAATCCTTCCTAGCCGTAGCTGCCCCACAAGTCCAAACTGTTGAATTCCCACAAGTCCAAGTTCCACAATGTCAACAAACCGTTCAAGTTCCACAAGTCCAAAACGTTCAATTCCAATCTGTCCAAGTTCCACAATGTCAACAAACCGTCCAAGTCCCACAAGTTCAATCTTTCCAAGCTGTTGCTGCCCCACAAGTCCAAACTGTTGAATTCCCACAAGTCCAAGTTCCACAATGCCAACAAACCGTCCAAACCGTCCAAGTCCCACAAGTCCAAACCGTCCAAGTTCCACAAGTCCAAACCGTCCAAGTCCCACAAGTTCAATCCGTTCAAGTTCCACAATTCTCTACCTTGTCTGGAAACAACGGTTGCTTCTAAGCTAATTACATGCACTTGTCGTCATTGAAAGACAAAAAAGCATTGTAAAAAAAAAATGCATAATTAATAATAAATTATTTATTTTATGAAATTTTTATTTATTTATTTAATTACCGGAATTTGAAAGTTTTTCAGTAATTCAATTACATGGTAGTCATTTTTATTTTAAGAAGATAATTACAGTATCGTGATTTATGGGAAAAAAATTTTCATTTTAAATTGTGTCTGATGAGTTTTTTTTTTAAATTTTTCCACTGTTGATTCTTATTGAATTCTATTGGATATTTAAAGTTGCTTGTATTTAATGCTGTTGGATACGTACAAATCTGATGAATGCTGCGGTCTACAGGAATATTCTATCGTTTATAAGTATCTTAAAACTTTTTGCGGGATTTTTTCCTTTTGTTTATAAACAAAAAAAAAAAAAAACAATTTAAATAATTATTGCAAATTTGCAAAAAATTTTAACTAAGCAATTTTTGCACGGGAAACAAATTTTTTTTTTGTGTTCAACCGTTCGCCCTGACTTTTTATAATAATATTATATTTTTATCAGGTTCCGAACGTGTTTAGCAAACTTTTTCAAATAAAATAAAAATAAAAAATTTTTTTTTTTTTCTTTTAAAAAAGATTTTATTTGATAATTTAAAAAAAAAAAAACAATGGATACTTAAGTCATTGTTGAAAATTAAAACAAAAACAAGGAATGTAGTAATCGTATAATAAAAATAATTTAAAAATTTTATAGCGTTTTATAACGGCTTTATAGTCGTGAAAAATTCTTTAGAAAATCAAAAATTTGAATTTTGTTTTATTCACATTTTAAAAAAATTAATTTATTAATTAATAATTATTATTTTGTGAGTAAAACTTTAAAACAATTTTTTGTTTATAGTTATAGAAGTTGCTATAAATGAATTACTAAAAAAATATATTTAAATTTTTAATTGTGCAGCTTGGCAAATAATCCCAGTGCGCCGCGTTTTGAAATATTTAACGACGAGGAAAAAAACAGAAAAAAAACGGTTATTTTATTTATGTTACCGCCGCCATTTTGTTTATGACTATTATTCATTCATTCATTCATTAAAAAATTGTCAATGTCAACGTTTTATTTATTTTGTAAAAAAATTTCATTAAGCCTAAAATACTAATTTTAATTTTTTTTTTTTTTTCAGGTAAGAACGACTTCAGATTATTCATTTGATAGTTTTTAAATTTGATAATAAAATCCGTAATAAGGTAAGGTTAGGTCGTCAAAAATTTAATCAAAAATTAATATTAATAATAATAATAATATTTTATATTTATAATTATTTAACTGCAGTATAAAAAGTTATAAAAAAAAAAAAAACGTACAAAAAAAATAATAACAAATAAAATAACAACAACAACAGCAACAACAAAAACTTAACTAAACTAACTAAATATAAAAATTGAAAATTGAAAATTATTATTATTTACATAAAGCTAATTTAGAAAGTAATGATAATAGGCAAGGTGGTAGGGAAGCTAATTTAAGCAAGCTTAATGGAGAAGCTAATGGGGCACAGGGTGGTGAGGAGCAAGGTGGTAAGTGTGGAGTGACTGGAAGGCATGGAGAAAGAGCAGGAGCTGCTGGTGCGCATGGTGGCAAAGCTGGTGGGCATGGCGGTAATGCTGGTGCACAAGGTGGTAATGCCGGAGCGCATGGTGGCAATGCCGGAGCGCATGGTGGCAATGCCGGAGCGCATGGTGGTAATGCCGGAGCTGGAGGTGTGAGTCCTGAAAGAGCTGATAAAGCAGAAAGTCCCAAGCGTTTTGAAAGCAGAGATAAAAGCAATGAGTTTAGAGGTGGAGGAAGTGCGGCGGCAGCAGGAGCTGCTGCTGCTGCGGCTGGTGGTGCCGCCGGTGGAGCGTCTGGAGTGTAAGGAGGACAGTTTATCGGAACACCTTGATATTGAATATTTTCAACGACTGGAGTGTGTGTTGTTTGAATGTATCTTTGAATGGATGGTACGGTAATCATTTGTTGAACTACTTGAGGTTTTACAACGGTTTTGAGACAGTGACAGGTGTTGGCAATTGTTTTCGGTGGTGGTATGCAAGCCGGAAGTGAAACGGGAGCTTTTTCAACAACCGGAGTTTGTAAAGGAGGTGCGTTGATTGGAGGCAAAGGACTAGGATTAGGTCCACAATTGTCCAACATTAGAGGTACTAATGGTGCACATTGCTGTTGGCAGGGTGGTCGACAGCCGCAAAGCTAAAAAAAAAAGGAGACAACTTTATTCACAATCTGTTTCCGAAAAAAATTTTAAAAACTTAAATTTTTTTTCAATGAATAAAATATTTTTATTGATGGTTTTTAAACTCACCTGCGGTCCACATTTCCCTTCGACATTAGTAATAACTAAAAATACAGCAGAAAAACAAAAAACTAATTTTAAATTCATGTTCTGTTCTTTTTTTTTGTGTTGTTTTGATCACTTTGATTTTCTGATACGATTATGTAACTAAACTTGCTGATCGCAATATTTTATAGCAAAACAGTATCGACCTCGATTGATCAAGGCAGTTTGTTGCCCTGAAAATGCACGTGACGATATCGATTTGTTTTGACCGTTAAAAAAATCACATTGTAAATAAAAACAATGTTAAAGATTCAGGCTCAGGGTTTTTTTATTTTTTTTCGAACATCACGAAATTATTATTTTCATCATTCGTTTTTTTTTTTTATTTATCAAATTTTTTTTCTTCACTCATTTCACATTGTCGTCGTCGTCGTCGTCATCTTTGTCATTGTCGTCGTCGTGCAAACACTCGAAAATTCCTTATTATTATTTTTTTTTTAATAATTTAATTTCGTTTTGATTTTTTAAATTATTTTTTTCGATTTTACAAAATCTTTTGTTGTCGTATAATAATTTTTTAAATATAATTTCTACCGACGGAAATTAAAATTTTCAGTTTTCTTATTTTCAGTGATGATTTTCCTCATAAAATAATAATAATAATAAATTATAATTATAATAAGTAGTAGTAATAGTTAATAATAATTAATTAAGGTTATACTAAGTTTAATTAAAAACTATGGAATGATATTACGCTGTATTCGACCTTCTTAAAACCAAAAGAGAGAGAAAAAGAGAGAAAGAGAGTGAGTGAAAGAGAGAGAGAGAGAGAGAGAGAGAGAGACCTTTTTAATAAAATACATAATGGTATTGGAAAAAATATACAATAAGAATAAAAAAAAAAAATTTTTTTTTTCTCCGAACGAAAGCCTGAATTTTAATTTTGTCCTTAAATAATTTTTATATAAATTTATCAACGTACCTGATTAAAGTCTTTTTTTGTTTGTTCCTCCGTTTGTCACGATTATACTTGACAAACAAAAAAAAATTTATTAAATTTTCAAAAATAAAAAAATAAAAATAACTCGAATTTTTTTTAATAAATAAATAATTTTTAAAAAAAATTATCATCGCGATTTCGGCGATATTTTGTCATCATCATCATTATCATCATTATTATGGGTTTTATAAAAAAATTATATTAGAGTATAATTTTTTAAAAAAAAATTTATTTATTTATTTATGTACATACTAATTTAAAACTAAATCAATCTACTAAAGTAACAATTTTACGCTCAATTCCTTTTTTTTTTAAGTCTATGTCGCGTATTCTTATCATACAACAAAACAATATTTTTAAAATATTTATATAACAATTACTTTTTTGTTTTTTTTTCTGATTTTCAATATGGATCCTAACAGATAAATTCACTGTTAAGAAAATATTATAAATCTCTCTCTCTCAAAAAAAAAAACAAAAAATAAAAAATTTTACAACAAAAAGTAACAAACGATTATTAAAAAAAGAAAGAAAAAAGAATTTAAAAAATAACAGTTCTAGAGCGGCACAAACATGGGGATACGTTAACTATGGAACCCGGTTTGATAAGACCAGAAGAAATAGCCGAAAGTGGGATTGTCGTAATAGTTGGCAAAGTTCTGACAGCGGTAACCGTTGGAAGAGTAGCTGTTACTGCTGCCGGTGCAGGTGTGACAGTTGTTAAACGTCCCTTAAGAGCGTTTGCAACGGCGACAGCAGTAGCAGCACCGGGAGAAGCACCGACAGGAACGGCATTTATAGGAGAATCAACCGGAGTGGCTTCGTAGTGAATTTTTTCAATGACGGGAGTTGCTGAGGTTTGAATAACACGTTGAACCGAGGGCACAGATATGATTTGATTATGAACTTGAGGTTTTACGATGGTTTTGTAACAGGTACAAACGTTGTCGATGGTTTTTGGACGTGGTATGCAACCGGCAGTTCTAAGTGGAAGTCTTTCCAGGGTCGGAGTTCTAACGTGTTTATTAATTATTGGAATGGTTGTAGCCGTCGGTCCATTATTGCTCAAACGTACCGGATAAGTTCTAACAGCGCAAGCCTGGAAAAAAAATAATAATAAAAAATTATCAAATTATTATAAAAACGTTTTTAAAATACGAATTCCCTACCCTCCTACCCCCTAAACAAAAACATTTCCGGTCGTTTTCTTCGAAAATAAACCCATAACGTCAAAAAAAGTTGATAATAATTATCTGATCAAAAAAAAACCTTTTTCAAACTGTTTTTCGGTTTCGAAAAAAATTATATACTCAGTGTAAACGGAGCAAAAAACTCACCGCAGCAAAAACGATGGAAAAAATGAAAATTTCACACGAAAAAAACATTTTTTGTAATTATTAATTAATTATTAATTTTTTAATCAATTAAAAGGAATTGAGATGATGTTACTAATGAATCAAACAATTGATAACTGATGCTGATAAAGTTTTTCCACTCATCTTTTATACTAAAATGATTACATATTATTTTTTAATTATTAAATATTCTCAAAATGATGTTTGTGCCTTAAATCCAAATATTTTTCAGGGTTAAATAAAATTTGTGTCATAAACTCGCTCGTGTAATTTTTACATTCTCGTTATTTTTTTTTTTTTTTAAATAAACTATTACATTTATAAAAAAAAAATATCAATAATAATAATAATAATAAATGTATTAATAATACAATTGTAACGAAAAATGAATGAATCGTGACTCGGTTGATAACACGGTTGTTTATCAATTGATTTACTTAATTAATTTTTTTTTTGTTTTTACTCGCATTCGTATTAAAAAAACGTATCATCGCGTGTCATTTTCTCTCTTTCTTTTTTTTTTTCGTTTCGTTTATATTATAAAAATATTTTTATAAAAAAAAAAATATATTATTATAATATTTTTTTTTTTTTGTTGATAACGATATGATAAGAGATAATAATAAGATAATATCCATACTCTAAAATCGATCGTATCTTATTTTAAATATTAAATTTTTATATATTAAAAAATTATACTGAATATAATAATAATATCAATTGATTATTATCATCATGTTTTTTTTTCCCCGTTTGTTTTTACTTTAAAGGAAAAATGTTACGAGAATAATATTATTGTTTAATTATTGATATATTATTATTAATATATACATGAATGATATATTATATTATAATTTGATATTACTTTTTAAAAAAAGAAATTATTTCTACATGAAATCATCCGGTTTTTTTTTTGGGGGGGGGGGGAGGGGCAAATAACGGTTTTAATATGTTGTTTTAGTTATATTATTTTTCATAAAATATTTCAGTATATATTAATATATTATTTAAAAATTATATTGTTATTTATATTATACTAATTATGTATATCTATAGAGCAAGACTGCAATGAAGGTACTTATTTACGCGAGAGGAAGTAAACACGTTGAATTTTAACGTTTATATTATTTATAATATATATGGGATTTCTTAAAATATCAATTATATTATAGAATATACTGAATGAATGTAACAAACAATGTGAATTTTTTTTTTCGGTTTTTATTTCAGATTTACGGTTGAGTAACAATTTATGAGCAAACACGTAAAAAATCGCCGTAAAAAAAGATAAAATTATAAGAAGCCATAACGATTCTTTTTTTCTGGGAGGCCGGGGGGAGGGAGAGGGGGGCAGCATCGGGGAGAAGTAAAAGACTACCAAATGTGTGAACCCTTCGAATAATTTACACAATCTGATAAAAAATAAATGACAGTATTAAAATTTATAACCAAACTAATAATTACAATGGTAAGCAATATCGGTTTTTTGATTTCGTTTCTTTTTTTTTTTTCTTTTTTAATAAATCAGCAAATTTATTAAAAATAAAAAAAAAAATAATAATAATAATAATAATGCTTATTATTATTATTATTATTATTTTGAATTGTAATTTTTGCTGATGATAGTATAATAAAATTATAATTATTAAAACGAGCGTATAACGAATTATTAAGAAACAGAGAAGAAGAAAAAATAAAAAAAATTTGTTTAATTATTTAAAAATAACGAAGTGTGTCGGTTGTCGTGAGTTTGTGTCTGTTTTCTGAACAATTGTGCGTGCGTGTGTCCGTGTTTGTTTGTTTGTTTGATAAAAAAAATTTTTAAATCGTGGAAAAAAAAAAAAATTCGTTATTGTTTTGTCATTTTCATAAACGATTTTTCATAAACCCGTAAATTTATACAAAATATTTTTATTTTAAAATTGTGATGTTTGTCAAATTTTTTTTTTTTTCGTTTGTTTTGTTTGTTTTGACAAACGAGTTTCGCTCTCGTTCGGTCGTCAGGTATATAAATGAAAAAATTTTAATTTTTTATTCTTTCGCTCTCATGCTTTCTTTTCTATTCTTTCTCTCTCTCTCTTTTTTTTTTTCAAAAATCCTCGAACGGATGATTTAAAGCATATAAATAAACCGTTAAGGGATGAATTAGAGAGGAAGTAGTAGGAAAGGGGTAGTTTTTTTTTTTACCAAAATGGTGTACTAGAACGTAATGCATTAACATTAGAAGATAAAATGCCATTAATGAAAATTAATAGTTTATGTCTGAAACGATTTTCACGTTAACGTTTAATTAATAGTAAATTATTTTATGTTTACCCAAACTAGTATCAATATTTATTTATAAATAAATAAATTTATGTGCTAGTATATTATATATTATAATAATATATATTATAAATTTATTGATATATTGATCAAATAAAAATATTTACAAAATATTATTGTTCGCTTAGCAAAAAAAAAATGGTTTGGATTTTAAAAAAAAATAAGACAGAATTATTATTATTTTTAAAAAAAATTTTATTGTTTGTTGACAACACTACAAACGGTTTTATAAAAATTTGTAATGTCGGTTTTTTTTTACTTTACATTACAATTATAATTAAAAAAGAAAAAAACTAAAAACAAATTGAATTACTATTAAAAAAAGTATGGACAATTACAAGAACTACTACAAGGGCAGGAATAAGATCCACAAGGCTCAAAGGAAGAAGCATAGGAGGAGGATGAGGATGGTGAAGGACAGGATAATGTTTGTATTGGTGGTTGGAAAAATGACGGTGGTGCTATTATCGATATGTGGGTTATGGGTTGTTTGGTTTCTGCGGGTACAGGCGGTGGTGCAGTTGTACATTTGGTCGTACATTCGGGAGGAGGAGTACTAGTTGTTGTGGTTGTTGTCGTTGATGTTGTTTGAGGAAGAGGAACGGGTACGGGTAAAGGCATTGGAACCGGTACGGGAACGAGTGGAGGTGAAAAAGGTGGTGAAAAAGGAGGGGAATTCGGGGGTTGAGGTGAAAAAGGAGGGGAATTCGGGGGTTGAGGTGAAAAAGGTGGAGAATTAGGAGGTGGAGGTCTTGGAAAAGGTGGAGAATTTGGTGGCGGAGGTCTGGGAAAGGGTGGTGGTCCTGGCGGCCCTGGTGGACCTTGTGGCAATCCCGGATTATTATTTCCCGTTGTAAACGTTATCGATGTTATGACTGGTCTTCCTTCTGTGCCCATTTGTTGCGTGTAAGAATTGTAACCATTTGATTGATAATAATTTTGTCCTGGATTGTAGTTTTGTCCTTGGTTGTAATTTTGTCCTTGATTATAATTTTGTCCTTGATTGTAATCATAATTTTGATTTGGATTGTAATAATTTTGATCGTAATTTGGATAATAATTATTATATCCTCCGTCGTTGCTACTACTACTACTACTAGCACCAGAATTTAAACTTAGTTGTAATGAATGCCCACTCGAAGCCTAATTATTATAAATAATTAAATAAATCAAAAAAATAATTTTTTCTAAAGGGCAAAAAAAAAAGCAGAAAAACTCTTACCTGGCTACTTGACTGTGCGGTGCCCCTTTGGACAAGGGCAACCGTAACGAACAAAATTGAAATCAGGTATTTATACATTTCATACTGTGGTTCGAAATCCGAATGGTTAGAAATTGTGAAATCTACGTTTTATATAATAGAACCTCTTTTGAAATTGAAAAGGAACATGACTTAATAATAGAAAAAAACTAATGAAAACAATAATAAACTCATCAATAGAAAGTATTATTATTATTATTATTATTGTATCAGTATACAGATACAAATGACTTTTATTTATTATTATTTTTTTTTTTACAAACACACACGACAGCGTGACGGTATAAAATTTTCTTTTTGTTTTTCAAGGTCATTATTATCATTCCGCTTTCTATTATGTGATTTTTTTTACATTGAACAAATTAAACGAACATGGCGATTTCAAATTTTCTTTTTTTTTTTTTACGTATTTATTCGAAAATAAATTTTTTAATAAGTCCCCACATATGTACATATTAATAAATAAAAATATATTTTGTGACGTCATTATTTTTTAAAAATTTTAAATCGTGTTTGTGACAGGTACACTTAACGGCGAATTAAATTAAAAAAACATATTAAAAAATTAGAAACACAACACACGCACACGCACGCACACACACACACACACACAAACGAAAAAAAATTTTTTTTTTTAGTTTGTAAATTAATTCAATTAAATTTACGAAAGAATTTAAAAACAAAATGCCGAGAGGATCCTCCTTCCCAAAAAATAAATAAAATAAATAAATAATTATTTTTTATTTATTTTTATCTTATGCCACGTTCATCCATCCGTATGCCACATTTGTTATTATCACGTTTTTCATTTTCTTTTCTTTTTTTCAATTACATATTTTTATTATTATTATTATTATTACTTTGTTTTAAAAAAAAAACATGAAAAAGCATTTAGGGAATGTAAAAAAGTGAAATTGACATGAAAAAAACGAAAAAAAAAACCATTTGAAAAAAAATGGTGATCGATATTTTAATATGTTTTAAGGCTATAAACAAAATCCGCCATTTTTTTTTTTAAAATCACTATAACTAATTTAGTTATTTATGATTTAAACGGACATTGGTAATTATTGAAATTGATTTACCCTTAGGGGGTAGGAGGGGAGGGGGGCAAAGGACATTTTTGTCACTGGTCAAAACGTCATTATATTATTATTATTATTATTATTATTAATGCTTCGGGCCACGTAAAAAAAAAAAAAAAATTAAAAAGGAAATAATATAAAAAAAATTATTTTCTATCGGTTGTTAGTCATTTTGTTGTTTGATTTTTTCTTTTTTTTTGTTAATAATTCGATTTAATAAAAGTAAAAATTAATAAAAATTTATTTAATTAATAAAATAAATTTTAATAATAAATTTTTAAATTTCAAATATTTATTTTTTAATATATATATTGAACTTGAAAAAAGATTATTCTTTTGAAATTTCCCGCCATTTTTCTTTTTTTTTTAAAAATTATTTTAACGTCGTGAAAAATTCGTCATTGAAAACGCACATGAAAAAAAAATAAAAAAAATTTTTTTTTCCCTATTTTTATTCGTGGCTCGTTTTAACTTTCGAAATTAAATGTAAATAAAAAACAAACAAAAAAACGAACAAACAAACAAACGAAATTTTTAACAATAACAACACACAATTTTATTGTTATAATAAATAATTTCCATATTGAAAAAAAATTAATATTGAAAATAATTTTTTACGTAATATTAATGAACAAACGTCAAAAAGTTAATTCAGTGCAGACAAACAAAAAAATGTCGTTTGTTGAGTTTGTCGTTGTCGTTGTCGTTGTTTTTTTCAATATTTCAATAAAACCAATTTTTTTTCGGATGTAGCAGACGATTTTTATTTATTTAATGTTTTTTCGGAGATTTTAATTATTTATTGCTTTGAAAAAGAAAAAAAATAATGATGATGATGATGATTTTGGTGTTTAAATGAGTTTCGTAAATGAAAACAAAGGAAAAAAGAAAAAAAATTTATGATTTTCCTCTTCCTCTTCTTCCTCCTCCTTCTTTCTTCCCTTCCCTTAAAAAAAAAAAAAAAATTAAAATATTCGAGTGAGTTGAAAAAGATACTTTTTTTTTTTATATGGAGGATTCAAAGGATTTTCAAAAGTGTTTTAAATATCTCTCAAAGGAATGTCGATTAAAATCATTTTAGAAGTATGTAGTGGGAAATTTTCCTTTTACAAACTATTTCTAATAGATTATCATTTTAGTTTTACAAGAAAACCAAATTAACCATTTAAATTTTACAAATTTTACAAAATATTTTCTTTCTTCTTGAACTTATCCGCACGACGCCAACCGCAAATCGTGAAAAAGGAAATATGGGAATGAAGTTGCGTTTGGAAAGAGTTAGTGAGAGTGAGAGAGAGAGAGAGATAGAAAAACTTTTCTTATTTTTTTTTTCCTGCATTCCCTGATTTAAAAAAAAAAAGGAAAATTTTATTATCGTTATTATTATTTATTTTCTTTGGTTTTAATGATAATAATTTCATGTCGGTTGTTGTTTGTATTTGTGTTGTGTGTGTGTGTTTAAATCGTGTCGTGATAATTGATTCTTGTTTTAAATCTTATCGATTTTTCCAGAATGCGTGTGTGTGTGTGTGTGTGTGTTAACTATTGAATGGAAATATTTTCTAAAACGTATTTTATTTAAATCCTTAAACGTGTCTTTAAAGAAAAAAAAAATCAAACCTTACGTTTTCATAACAACAACAACAAAAAGGAAAAATGGAAAAAAAAAAAGGTTTAAAAAAATTTTTTTATATCGATTATCTAACGGTTTTTCTCCCTCCCCCCGAAGGTTGTACGACGATCGATATATAAAAAGGAAATTTTTTATAATTTTATAGTCATTCCGTTATTGATATTATTTTGTTAATTAATAATGTCGTGTAAAATTTTTTTATTTTCATTTTTTATCATCGGTATAACGACAAGTGTTAACGGTTGTTGTAGAAATTGTAACATCCTACAGGTATAGTAACCGCCATTTTTAGGAGTGTGACGTGTTACGTTTCGATTAATTTTTATATAGAAAAAGAAAATTTTTTTTTTTTTTTTTAGTTCAGGAGACCGAATTTATTTCCAATTTTTGAGAGTCCTCCACCTTACGAAAATATTTATCCGGAACCGGAACCTTTTTGCGAT